GGGAGGCGGGTGCCAGCGCCGCGCGACCTTGGCCGGGCCCAGCTCACCTCGCTCGTGCCTGTTGGTCTCCTTTCTCTCTCTAAAGAGGGAGCGGGGTAGAGCCCGAGGCTCCCCAACTCCGGCGAGCGTGCAAGGGCGCAGAACAGGCGCCGGGGAGCGGGCTGCAGCGTCGATGCAGGGCCGCGTCCCAGGGAGTCTGACTTGGGAACGGGAGGGGGAGCTGGGAAATCTGCATTTTAGTGCAAGCTCCCCCCGACCCCCACCCCAGGGGACTCAGAAGCGGGTAGTTCCCAGGCCACTGGCCGGGATAGAGAAGGGCCCGTTCCCGCCCGGCCTCGGGGAAGGCCCGGAGTGATGCTGCGGAGAGCAGGGCGCTTCTGCGTCTTGAGAAATTCATGTTTGGCTTAGAAGACCGTCATGCACATAAGGCTTGACGACAGAACCGTAGGCACCTGCAGCCTTAGGAACAGGTACCCTTGGAATGAAGACCTGGGTGCTCCCGATGGAGCCAGAGGAGGGGGAGGGGAGATGGTGCTTCCCCGCCCGCAGGGCTGCCTTGATTGACAGCGGAGCGACTGGGGTGGGGGTTGGCCCAGCTGTGGGTGAGATGAGACAGCGCCCTGGTAGCAGGACGTGGGGCTGTGGGTTAGGCGGATTAAGCGTCCCAACTGGTTTCCACAACATTGGTTTCCACAGCCCTCTTTGTGTCTGGGCAAGGGCCGAAGTGGCCTGAGCGACCTGGAGCTGGCCGCCTGGACTTTACCAGAGACCCCAAGTCTCCAGCTGTTTGCACAGAAGCCTGTACAGATAAGGCCAGGGGCGCGCTCTGGAAGCATTACAGGCTCCTAGGTAGGATCTTGCTCAGAGTAGCTGGTGTCTGTGACGCCCAGGTGATCATTTATTTGGTGGATCAACTAATGCGGACAGCTGCGTTGGGAGGCGTTAGCCCTGTTTTCTGTCTTTCCTGGATGTCCATGTCTTAACCTGAATCTTCCTGAAATTGGTCTAGATTCACCTTTCACCGTTTGCATGGCTGAGCAGTGACGTGCCTCAGTGGCGCTGCCAGGGCCCAGGAGGATATTGCCAAGTGAGAGCTGGTGGCTCAGAGAGAGGGAGAGAGTAAATGCCAGTATTTGCCTGGGGGTGGAAACAGTGAATGAATCTGTTCACTGTGCAGACGGGGGAGCATTTTTGCTTTAACTGTCCCCAAAACAAGGCCGAAGGAAGAGTAATTTCTTAGAGAATTTGAGGGAAAGGGGTTTTTGTGTTGTTGTTTTTTTTTAGCTTGAATCAACAGACTGCTTGAATTGTTTGGTCTCACCCTCTGCTCTGTCCTGGCTCAGGAGACCCTCCCCAGTGAACACTTGGGGGGGGGGGCGCTGTGCAGAGACAGTGTTGGTGTCTGGAAGAAGCGTGATTTAGTGATTTAGATCTTAGATTGTAGGAGCTGCTGAGGGGTGGGGAGGGAGTGGTCACAACACACTGTCCTCTGCAGAGGCGACAACCATTTTGTTAGATCAGTGTTGCCACTTGTCGGGTTTAGGAAGCAGACACGGCCCTGTCCCCTCCTGATGTTAAGAGCCAAGAAGTCAGACCCCATGATTGGAGGGATCTCAGACTACTGTGTTCCTGTATCTCCCTTCTCACCAAACCATCGTTCATCCCACCTGTCACATACTCATCCCGTTTGCCTGTGACTTGGGAAACCCTAAAGGCTTAGGTTCAGATGGTCTTATTTGGGAAACAGAACTCATACAGCTGTTTCAATCATTAACATCATCATTGAAATTAGTTTCTCACACCACATAGGGACGAGGGCAGTTTTGTTTGGATGGAAAGACAAGGGATTAGAAAACCAGCCCATGAGGACCCTGGACAAACAGGGGACCTAGTCAAGTCATTAACCGCTCTGGGCTTGTTCCAGCCCCGGTAGAACTGGCATGAAGAACAGCGCACAGCACCATAGGCCCTGAAAGTTATTTGTTGAGAGTGTGAATACATAGCAGCCATAAAGATTAAATAAGAAGACATATCAAACCACTTCGTTAAACTTCATAGCTTCATACAAATAAGAAAGGGTAGTAGTTATATGTCTACTAGTAGTTATTATGATATTTAAAAATGAGGAAGAGGTTTGGCACATTTAATCTCACCCTCAGATATTCCCCTGAATGTGTTGTTAGGGAAGGGGAGACCCCCACCCCCACCCCCACCCCACTTCTTGAGTTCTTACAGCTAGACTAGTAATAAAGTAATAAAATTGACACAAAACTAGATTAACAGGGAAAAAAACAACTTAATACATGTGTATAGGAGAATCACAACATGATACTCAGACCATAAAATGCGGCTCAAAGAAATTATGAAACCAGGCACCTTTTCATACTTTTTAGACAAAGAAACAGTCCACCTGTGAGGAATTTACAGGTCAGAGAAAGTTGGGGTTCATTAGATTGGGATGTAAGCAAGGTTTGGGTATTGAGTAATGAGGAATTGAAGCCAAGTAGTACATTTGAAAAGAGGCACCGAGATTTGTTTATGCAGCTTCTCAGCTCTGAGTTGTTGAACTCCAGTGATGAGGGGTGTCCTCCAGGTGCGGGGAGGACACCTTTCACCTGTGAGATTTATTTTCTGCCTTCAGTGAGACAAGGGAAGGTCAAGGTGCCCTTCTGGTAGCAGCTGCTTGTCAGGTAACTTTAATTCAAAGTAGTCAATATGCCATTGTGGGACATTTCGGGGTGGTCTGTCTTGGGCCCCAACAGTGTCCAATGTTCATCCTTGTTAGTCACATCATGACTCCACAAGATTAGGTGGATTAAATAACAGCCATGTTGGCAAAGAGACATCAAGGGTGACATGCATTGCATCATCACACATAAGTCAGGTGATTCAGATGGGAATTCCAGGCCCTGTTTTGTGACCAGACTTAGTTTGGTTTTTCTTTAATGTTGAAAGGACACTTCCTTAAATAGAGTAAAAACATTAAATCACACCCAGCTGAATTAGAATCTGCAATAATTTGGGTGTGGTCTGCACGATTCTCTTAAATAAAACCAGCGTTTGTGAAACATGTAAGTCTGTTGGTTAATCATTTTACATATTTCTACTACTTCGAATTTTGTTGAGATATTTGTACTTCAGAGTGAAAAATTACTGTCTTAAGGAGAGACAGTCAAGCTTTTTACCATGATGGCAGCAGGGAAGGGAAATACGGGAAACTTTAGGAGGAAAAGACTGGAGAGAGGGTTCTGTCCTTCCAAGTGGCAAGCCACGCTTTATGTAGTTGCTTAAGGGGGAGACTAAAATAGATATAATTCATAGGGATTTTAACTAATTGTAAGAGAAGTTGTAAGAGTTAGAGAGTTATTTAAAAACCTAGTAAATAAAAAAGGAGCTAAAGGTTTCTCTCTTTCAAGCTGTTCAGAGAATTCAGAAATAATCTTAAGACTCATGCTAACCATGGACTAATAAACTAGTAGTATTAAAGTACACATAAAAATTGGTTCTGTGAGACTGGCTACTTTTCTGCTGAGTGTTTAAACTATCCTTTAAACTTCCACTTTTGTAAATAATTAAAAACAAACAAATACAGAAAGAGGCTGCATATCTCAGCTCAGAAAAATTGAGGCATATACCTACCTAAGTGCCACTGCCCCCTCTTGGTAGCAAATAGTAATTGTAGGTTCAGTGTTTGGGGAAGACAGTTTTGAATGTGTAAAGCAAGGAAAGGAGGAACCGTTGCAGTACAATTAGCTGCTGCTTCTGGAGCAAAGTAAAGTGAGGAAATGCTGTGGCTGGTCCACAGCTGAGCATGGCCCACCCCTACAGAGAGTGGCTTGTTCGCATTTCTGGACTGCAGCTGCTCTGGCAAATAATTTCTGGGTGGCAACTTGGTCGATTTCCTCGTTGTTGTTTATCTAATCCTGCGTCTTCTCATTATAGCTGAGTGTGCCACCCCTAGAAATATGTTGTGCCCTGGAATTTATGAAATCCACTGCTGTGTGGTAAACCCCCAACTCCCAAACAGCACATAAAAACACTATCCACTGTGTTCCGCCTTATGATGACTACTTACTTGTTAAACTTCTGTGAGTTTATTATTAAGGTGCTTTAAAAAAGATTTAAGAATGGAATTTAAAATCTGACAGGGCCCGATCCACCTGGAGACACACACTGGAGAGTATGCACTTCTCAGATGATTCTCTAAAGTGCTGTTGCGGCTGTTGCTGCACAGTGAATGGTTTTCTTATACTTAACAGAGTTGACTCTCTTTTTACCATTGGCTACCTTGTTTAACTAGCTGCTAAGGTTCCCCCCCTTATGTTTTATTTGCCTAAACTTTGAGAAATATGTATAGTAGGGAAGGGAGAAGTATAAGTAAAGAAAAAAATAAGCCCCAGCCCCAGTCGGGGTGTGTGCAGAAGACAACCGATGGATGTTTCTCTCTCTCTCTCCCTCCCTCTCTCTCT